TGTAAATCTAAATAGAAACTCACTTTGAAGTACACTCCTTTGCAGTACACTTATTTGCAGTACAGTTCTTTGCATGCCACTTCTTCGTTGTACACTTCTTTGTAGTACTTGCAGTACGCTACTTTGCGGTACACTACTTTACAGTATACTACTTTTCAGTACACTACTTTGCGGTACACTCCTTTTCAGAACACTTCTTTGCGGTACACTCCTTTTCAGTACACTTTATTGCAGTACAAAAATTTGCAGTTCACTACTTTGCAGTACAATACTTTGCAGTTCACTACTTTGCAGTACAATACTGTGCAGTACACTCCTTTGAAGTTTACTCTTTGATGTTCCTCCTTTGCTGATTACTGAGCGAACAAGGAACGATACCAAACTCAATGTTTCTAGATAGACAAAAGTAAAATATGGCATAAGAAGAAAAATTAATCAATTAAATAAAAAAAACATTTATTGAAATTTCTGACTTTGGTTGCGTGTTTATCATGAATCTGATAATGAACATAAAATAAATCAATATATGTTTGAATATTCTAAGCTGGTAACCGCTAAAAAAGTTCTAATATTTCCGACTAAAAAAGTGTTGGGGCAAAAAAGTCCTTTTGTTAAAAAGTCTCCGGAAATAAAGTCCGACCGGTTCTAGCACTTTTTTCTGGCTCCTGTATGAATTTATACAATTATGTCCCCGGAAAAAAGTCCTATTATAGTAGAAAATGCATGGGAATGAAGGATGTTTACAACCATGCAAAAAAGGGGCAATTGATACTAAAGACACAAGGATGGCTATGTTCAAAAAACAGATGTATAAAAAAGTCTTTTTTTATGAAAATGACTTGACCTCATTTTCAGAAGATTTTTTGACGTTTTTTCTTGGTTTTTTTTCTCCAGATATATTTTCTGCAGGTCTTATTTTCCTGTGATATTATTTCCTGAGACTTTATTGGCAATAACATTTTTTCCTAGGACTTGAGCAAATTCGGACTTTTTTCCAAAGTTTTTATATATTTCCAGGTTTTTTCCCCAGAAACTCTTTTTCTTACATAGATTCTGTAAACTATAAGGCCCAGCTGTATCTGAGAAAAATATTCAAATCATTCTAATATCTTTCTAGTAAAATATTGCTAACACTGCGACAAATTTTCCAACGGGCGTTCTGAATGAAGGAAGAGGGGGGGAGATATAAAGAAAGATAAATATAAACTTAAGATATGGAGGAACGAAGAATGGTTAAATAATATAAAAAGAAGTAGTTGAACGAAATGTGAATGGAAGATAGAACGTTGAGAAACAGACGACAAAGATATAAAACAGATTAAGGACGGAGTTAGAAAGAAGATTGAACAGAAGTAGAACAGAGGTAGAACAGAGGTAGAACAGAGGTAGAACAGAGGTAAAACAGAGTTAGAACAGAGGTAGAACAGAGGTAAAACAGAGGTAGAACAGAGGTAGAACAGAGGTAGAACAGAGGTAGAACAGAGGTAGAACGGAAGAAGAACAGAGGTAGAACAGAGGTAGAACAGAGACAGAGGTAGAACGGAGGTAGAACGGAAGAAGAACAGAGGTAGAACAGCGGTAGAACAGAGGTAGAACAGAGGTAGAACAGAGGTAGAACGGAAGAAGAACAGAGGTAGAACAGAGGTAGAACAGAGGTAGAACAGAGGTAGAACGGAGGTAGAACGGAAGAAGAACAGAGGTAGAACAGCGGTAGAACAGAGGTAGAACAGAGGTAGAACGGCGGTAGAACGGAAGAAGAATAGAGGTAGAACAGAGGTAGAACAGAGGTAGAACGGCGGTAGAACAGAAGAAGAATGGAGATAGAACAGAGGTAGAATAGAGGTAGAACAGAGGTAAGACAGAGGTAGAAAAAAGGTTGAACAGAGGTAGAACGGCGGTAGAACTGAAGAAGAACAGAGGTAGAACAGAGGTAGGACGGAGGTAGAACGGAAGAAGAACAGAGGTTGAACAGCGGTAAAACAGAGGTAGAACAGAGGTAGAACGGCGGTAGAACGGAAGAAGAACAGAGGTAGAACAGCGGTAGAACAGAGGTAGAACGGCGGTAGAACGGAAGAAGAACGGAGGTAGAACAGAGGTAGAACAGAGGTAGAACTAGAACAGAGGTAGAACGGAAGAATAACAGAGTTAGAACAGAGGTAGAACAGAGGTAGAACGGAAGAAGAACGGAGGTAGAACAGAGGTAGAACGGAAGAAGAACAGAAGAAGAATGAAGTTACAACGGAAGTAGAACGTAGGTTGAACGAAGGCAGAACGGAGTTAGGACGAAGGTAGAACGGAGCTAAGAGACGATGAATAATGGAGGAAGAACACAGTTTGGATGGAGGTAAAATCGAGTTAGGATGGAGGTATAAGAGAGTTAGGACGAAGGTAGAACGGAGGAAGAACAAAGTTAGGATGTAGGTATAAGAACGGGACTAGAATGGAAGTAGAACAAAGGTAAAACACAGGTATAATAGAGGTTCAACAAAGGTAGAACGAAAGAAGATCGACGTTAGCACAGAAGTAGGTATAAATCGTTGGTAAAACGGAGGCGAAACGGAGTTTGGACGGAGGTAGAGCGGAGTTAGGACGGAGGTAGAGCAGAGTTAGGACGGAGGTAGAACGGAGTTAGCATGGGAGGTAAGACGGAGTTAAGGCAGAGGTAAAACGGAGTTAGGACGGAGGTACAACGGAGTTAGGACGGAGGTAGAACGGAGTTAGGACGGAGGTAGAACGAAGTTAGGACGGAGGTAGAACGGAGTTAGGACGGAGGTAGAACGAAGTTAGGACGAAGGTTGAACGGAGTTAGGACGGAGGTAGAACGGAGTTAGCATGGGAGGTAAAACGGAGAACGGAGAAATAATAAAATGTTTTCTCTCATTAAATGTATAGTATGAGGGTGTGTCCGTTTCGTGAAGCAATAAATTAGGTTTGTTTCTACTCATATATTTAATAAATGCTATTATGGAGAAACATGAATATTAATAAGATTTCCAAAAATTAAATTAAATGAAAAAAAGAAAATAGAAAAATCAGCCTTTTTTTGTTTTCTTGGTTTTTGTTTAATCTTTATTTTATTGTCTTTAAACTCTTAACCCTATCCCGGGCTATTTTTGTCTAATATAGATGGGGGAAGGGGGGGGAGTGTTTTCCACCCCTACCCCCTATAAAGGAATTGAGTCTTTGCCACAAACTCTGATTTTATAATCACTATATCTTTGGAACCAAATGTTGTAGACCTTAGATATTTCAAACTATGAATTCTTTTAATTTAAATAATCTGAGTTTGAAATATCGGAGTCAAGAGATATTGGGGTTTAAACATTTGACTTTGTTCCAAAGGCTCAATTTCTTTGCCCTTAGAGTTGATATAGGGAAGTGTGATGAGCGGGGGAAGGCAGGCGGCCATGAGCCACCACTATTTCCCCTTCCGGGCCACATATTAGCTTTTTTCTCTTCCGGCAGCCATGAGCCACCACTATTTCCCCTTCCGGGCCACCACATTTGACTCTTCCGGGCATAACTACTTTTTTAAATGGTATATTTAGGGCCTTTAAAGTGTGATTTTTAACATAACATGTTATTGGTGTATTTTAAATTTGTTAACCTTATTTTGGTTTTTTGACATAGCATAAGTTGGAAGAATTTAAATTGTAATTTTTGGACTAAAAAAGCATGGTTCCCAGCAAGATATGTCACTATCTCTGTTAAAGTTAAACACTTTGAATTGACGAAATAAAGTTTTTGAATTTTCAAAAAATCTATCATCATATACAAAAGTTTTTTTTCCCAAAATATTTTTTGTGCTCCAAATTGAGAATTTTACTCAAATAAACTGTTATTTTTTCTCACGAGCAATTTTTATTTATATGCATGATACAAATTTAACATCCAATATGCCTCTGTTTATGTGATAAGTGAATTAACTTGGAAGGAAAGGCCAAAAACGGAAAATTATATCGCAAAAACAGTAAAAATAGCCATATTTTTATTTATTTATTTATTCTTTTTTTACTTTAAAAAGCTTATTTGATAACTAAACGGAGAATAATATAAGACTCAGTTAAATTAAATGGTATGTAAACCAATATCTAAAATCTTTATACATTATCCAACTCGAAAGAAACAAATTCTAAATCTGACGAAGCTGTAAGAATAATTTTATTAGGAATGTACAACATGGTGGGCTTAACCATTTAAAAAACCTTAACAAGATTATGTTTAAGCTTAAGATCAAGTGAATTTAATGGTTCTGTCAATATTCCAGAAAGCTAGAACTTTCGATCACTCCTATTAAACATAATTTTTCAGCCTTCTTTCTTAAATACTTTTTTGCCGGCATAAATGTTTTGAATAAAAAGTATTTAACAAAAAAATCCGTAACTTTAAAGATAGTCAAAATATAAACCAAAACGAGAATGATTTCAAATTGAAGAAACCGAATGCCTCTAACTCTGGTTAGTCAGGGGTGAGATATATAGTGGCCGTGGGCTGTCATCACCCCCCCCCCCCTCCGAACACCCCATCTATACGCCCTTGATATGAAAAAAATATGAAATGTTCCTTTAAGACAAATCCAATTCGGAAAATATGTTACAGTCTATAAAACAAAATATGCGTTGGTTGATCTAGCTTTCCATCCTTCTTTCAAAAAATACTTCCACAAATGACACAAGCCGTGGAGGGATAGTCTAGCTCTGTTGCAGAAATGTTGATTTTTCAAAAACTTTATAATTGTAAATTATTTAAACAAAATTCATATTTTACCTTGGTGTAAGCTCTTATGTTTCGGATAAGTATTGTTATGCCCATTGGATAATTTTTCAAGTTTACTGATGATCGTATAACTTCTTAATTTGCAGTTTTATACAACAAATCTTTCATGCTATGGTATAGAAAAACTGTCTACTGTTTACATACCCCAGATCTGTGTACACAGATGCCGCAACTCTCATTTATCCGATGTACTGTATGTCACTACATGATCTATACCTAACACCGATTCCCTTCTGTCCCTGATCTCTGTCCTTAATGCAAAGACGACGGATTACATCCCTTAAAGAAAACATTTTTGGTAAAATTTGTTCACAACTATGATGTTGAAAAAGTGAAGAAGTTTTAGCGTTCCAAAGTAAGCTGTTTTTGAGTTATTTTAAAAAATCCATAGGAGGATGGAAAAATCGTGATTAGGTTTAAACTCCTTCTTTTTTTCGTAATTTCCTTTAAATGCTACCCGGCCGTTTTAGAAATTATCGAGAATAAAAATATTTTAATTGTGTGATGTTTTTAATCCTGGCTAAAACACCCACCACTGGGGTCATCTGAAGTCGCACAAATATGTAATTCCGTTCGGTTCAGCCGTTTTAACGTCTAGATACAGACAATCTAACAAACAGACACATCTATATAATAATAATATATATATATACATCCTTACATATACATACATACAGCAATAACAAATCTTAATAAACAATAGAACATGTTCTAAACTTATCTCAAGGAGATATAAATACACATCCATATACAGAGTTACACAAAAAGAATGAGACTGTAAATACGACCTGGAACCATACAATAGGACGATTCCCAGGTTAAATTAAGTTTTCTGTGTCTTGTTATTTTTAAATGATTGGAAAAATAAAGAAAAAAAATTAAAAGTTGCATGGAGGGAATCATCTTAATCTATTTAATTGAAATGTTTTGGTATCATTATTAACACTAGGTGGAAAAAATAATCAAAACAGGCAAGAGCTATTTTCCACCTAATTGCTTTATACTTGTACTATTAATATAATCATCAATTTGTAATTGTAAACTCGTTCTGTACACAGAAATAAACTTTATCTTATCTTATCATACATATAAGATAACAGACAGTACAAATTCCGTCCAATCGTCTCTGAAGTCTCATCCTTTGTGGGCAACCCTGTAGATATATTAGATTAGGAACAATATAAAGATGTCTGTTTTTGTTTGAGTTTTTAATTCTTTAATCACCAAACATATCATCAAACACAGTTTACCTAAAATATTTGATATGAAACCAGAAACTGTTAAGGCTAAAAAATATCTTTCTTATCCTGCGGGAGAGAGAAATATGGCAATTTCCTACCAGGAAATTATATTCTAACTCCAAACCAAATCTTGATAATAAGAATTTCGAAGTTTTCAACAAGTGTACATTTCATGTATATTTATAGTTGATTAGAGTCTAGACTATATGTATACGATATTGATATATTTGCTTACAACATTAATCAGTCTTTAGCACTCAACTTTCCGTCATATCTACCGATCAGCCCAGGGGGGGAGGGGGGCTTTTTGATGCCAACCATTAAATTATTAGCGCTTTTGTTTCAAAAAGTATTTCAGATTTATGATATCAAAAAATAATAAAATTATAATTTTTGATCAGAAACTGATATGAATTCACAAAAATTTTACTCAATAAAAATGATAATTATAGTAAATGACACGAATAGAAATGTTCAGTATAGAAAATGGGATCCTTAAAATGGTTTAAAATAATTTGTTCAATACATTTTGATTTCTATACATGTCTTCTTTAATTTGTTAATCTTAAAAACGCCTCTCTTAAAATTTAAAACACGTCAAAAATATTTTTTTTGTTTGCCAAGTGAAGAACCAAATATTAGTTGTTTCATTTGGAAAAATCCCAGTAAAATATGAAAAATTCACAAAAGAAGAAGAAAGCTTGTTTTTCCAACTCTATAAAGTTTAGAGGTTTAATGCCTTTATATTATTGGTTTCAGATTTCTGAAATATTTAACGCTTTTGTCGATATCGGACACCATTGTTTGCAATACCAAAATAATGGAATAATTTTAAGTAAACATTGAACTTCAAGTAAAGCGCTTTACATCCGAGGCATTCTGATCCTTGGGACAGATCTACATTTCTTTTCTTTCTTTATAAAAAGAGGATGTTAATGTTTCTGTGTTGAAAATAATCAAGTTTAACCCTAACCAAACTAAGTTTGTTTATATTTGTCTTTACAAATTCAGAAAACAGGGTTAGGGAGCAAAAAATTGTAAATTCAAAATTCCAGGGGCTTGTTTTCATGATTATTTAGTGTAGAACTAGAATCCACGTTCAGCCGTAGTACATTTGAATTTCCAGGCCGGGTCAACCTTTCCGGTCCCAGTTTGTACTGTATCTAGCTCAATGGTTAGTGACGGTGCAACAAGGTTGACGCGGTCAGACTTTATGCTTCATATAGGTTGAATTTAGTTTACTAAAAGGACAAATTTGCATGAATCAAATATAGCACCCACGAACTAACAAAAGAAAAAATGTAAGTAAAAGATAGAGAGCGAAAGGATAAAAAGGAAAGTTAAAATTTAAAAACAATTTATCGTGTCTTAAAGGGAGTGACTGGCTATGTAAGGTTGTTGAATTGAGTATGCAGTGTTGTGGAAAGCTTAATTCGGATTCATTTGAGACATATTAAACTTTTTAAAGATCTGTAAATCCTGAGTTTGAGCGCAAATTCGACGTTCAAAACTCCTATTTTGGGGGTGAAACGTTTTCAGAATCGGTTTTTTTAAATTACTAAAAAAAGACGACGAAAAATGAAGTAAAAATCATACAGTAATCTAATTCGAAGGTTGGGAACATATTTCTCTTAAAAAATTTCCCAATAAATCAATGCTAGAATCAATTATTTCGTTTTCATCACTATATTGAATTTCTTATTTTCTTTGAATTTATTCGCAAATTTCTTAAAATTTTTCAAACGTCGTCTTTTCAATAATAATTCAAGAAAATCTGCAGAAAATGTTTGTGAATAATAAGAACTAGAATAATGAGAAAATAGAAACTAATAATTGAACAAGATTACTTTTTTTCTATGATAAGATTAATTTTTATTTTCTCAACCGGTTCCGAAACAACTAATTAGTTTACTGGAGAGTTTTGTATGCATTTTTTGTCGTCGTTATTTAATAATTAAAAAGAAACTAATTCTGAAAACGTATCCACCCCCAAAGTAGGAGTTTTGAACGTCGAATTTGCGCTCAAACTCAGGATTTACAGATCTTTAAAAAGTTTAATATGTCTCAAATGAATCCAAAAGAAGTTTTCCACAACACTGCATACTCAGTTCAACTACCTTAAATAGCCGGTCACTCCTTATAAACAACAGAATACGACGAAAGAAAAGTTAAAGAGAAAACCAATGTCCCCTTCAGAAAAACAGCGTACCGCAAGTTTAGGACTAATTTCACCTTCAGAAAAACAGCGTACCGCAAGTTTCAGACAAATTTCTCCTTCAGAAAAACAGCGTACCGCAAGTTTCGGACAAATTTCCCCTTCAGAAAAACAGCGTACCGCAAGTTTAGGACTAATGTCTCCTTCAGAAAAACAGTGTACCGCAAGTTTCGGACAAATGTCTCCCTCAGAAAAACAGCGTACCGCAAATGTCGGACAAATGTCCCCTTCAGAAAAACCATGTACCGCAAGTTTCGGACAGATGTCCCCTTCAGAAAAACAGCGTACCACAAGTGTCAGAAAAATGTCCCCTTCAGAAAAACAGCGTACCACAAGTGTCGGACAGATGTCCCCTTCAGAAAAACAGCGTACCACAAGTATCGGACAAATTTCCTCTTCAAAAAAACAGCGTACCGCAAGTTTCCGACAAATGTCCCCTTCAGAAAAGAAAAACACCGTAGCGCAAGTGTCGGACAAATGTCCCCTTCAGAAAAACACCGTACCGCAAGTTTCAGACAAATGTCTCCTTCAGAAAAACAACATACCGCAAGTTTCGGACAAATGTACCCTTCAGAAAAACAGTGTGCCGCAAGTTTTGGACAAATGTCTCCCTCAGAAAAACAGCGTACCGCAAGTGTCGGGTAATTTTCTCAATAGCTTTATGATTGAATACATTGAAAACTTCTTCTGCATTAATCATATCCATTGATCTATTAATCATATCCACTGATCTGTAACATAAAATAATCATTTTTCAAACAAGAAAACTACAGGGTGTCCCACGAAACATGACCGTAGCCAGACGACTTGAAAGTCGTCTTTTAACTTTTAGTTTATTTGTGATATTTAGTCGTCACCCTGCTTTCATGTATGATTCTTGAAGCAAAAACATCAAAATTCACCTAATTCTGGCATTTCCAAAAAGTGGTCTGCCTTTTTTGTGGTTTCAATATTACCAGAGACATTAAGAATTTCTTTCAAATTTTAATGCTATTAAATAAAACCAAAATTGTCGAAATCTGAGCGAAATTCTTCATATCTCCGGTAATATTGAAAGCACAAAAAAGGCAGACCACATTTTGGAAATGCCAAGAATAGGGGCATTTTGTACTTACAAACTTTAGGATTACGAATAAATGCCGCAACTTATTTCAAAGATTTAAGACGACCTTTATTTGTCTTGCTATTGACATGTTTCGTGGGACACCATGTATCTAAGTGAAAAATATGTATTACATTAATTAAAAAAAAAATGGAAAGATAATTGGTGTCCTCAGCCTTTCTGAAAAGCCAATCGTGGATTTTTTAATTATCGACTCAATACCCAGTCAAAGTATCCTGGGTAGTGGCACTATTGTGAATCAGACAAACTACTCTGCACATAGATGATTTATTGAAACTATGTCTCAGTCTCTTAAAGATAAGAATGAAGTAGATAAAACCTAAAACTACCTATTTATGTGTGTTGTCTCATGTCCGCTCCATTGTCGTGGAATGACAAACTTTGAAAGTTTAGAAATTAAATTTAAATAAAGGTTGTGTCCAGACTATAAAATTTAGGTTGTGTCCAGACTATACAATAAAGGTTGTGTCCAGACTATACAATAAAGGTTGTGTCCAGACTATAGAATAAAGGTCGTGTCCAGACTACACAATAAAGGTTGTGTCCAGACTATACAATAAAGGTTGTGTCCAGACTATACAATAAAGGTTATGTCCAGACTATAGAATAAAGGTTGTGTCCAGACTATAAAATTAAGGTTGTGTCCAGACTATACAATAAAGGTTGTGTCCAGACTATAGAATAAAGGTTGTGTCCAGACTATACAATAAAGGTTGTGTCCAGACTATACAATAAAGGTNTGTGAAACTGGAAAACAACAAACTCTGCACATTAATTGGGTTTAAATGTTTTTTTTTGTAAAACACTTGATTTTAGCTTAAGTTTTTAGTAAGTAATTGGCAAAATTCTCATCGATTTTATGCATAAGAGCTTGCAACAACCTTTAATTAAGTTGCAGTGTTCCTAGATTAAATCGTGTATACGCCCCTAAAATTAGTATTATTAATTTAATTATAAAACTGCAAAGCTTTGTCAATTAAAGATTTTGCGTTTATTTGCGACAAATGCTTTTAAAATACTAATTTTAAATCATAAGCCATAAACAAGGGTTTCAGAAACAATCGGAATAAAAGCAAAAATGCAGGTTCCATTCCACACTGAACTCATGTACATTTGAATGTGAGCCGAACCGAATTTACGGTCCTAGTTTGCACTTCCCTTTCCGGTACACAAACTACATGATGGCAAACATACGGCAGGGGTCCATCTCGTCATGTACATGGAATCTGAGCTGAACAGACCTTAACGGTCCTAGTTTGTACTGCCCCCTTGGTACAACAACCAACTACATAATGGCAGACTTACGGCTGGGGTTAATCTAGTCATGTACATTTGAATCTGAGCTCAACCGACCTACCAACTAATATGTAATGGCAGACATGCGGCAGGGGGTCAATACATACAGTCATGTACATTTAAATTTGGATTCTGAGTTGACCCAACCTTTACAGTCTTAGTTTGTACTGCCCCGCCCGGTACACCAACCACAAAGGCAGACATATAACAGGGGTCAATATAGTTGACATGGTCTTTAGACTGCATCTGGATAAATTTATTCACAATAAAGTGGAAAGTTTGCATGGTTCTTTAAAGCAAACCTTTTTTTTAAAAGATACAACAATTAAAAAAAAACAGGGAAAGTCTGGTCTCAATGCTATTTTAAATTTTTCCTACTACGGTTCATTTATATTACTTCACTGTAATAGACCTGAATTATCTCGAATTATCTAATCCTTATATATTAAAAAAAATACCGTGGATATTCTAAACTTTGAAATCTGTCAGATTAAAATGCTAAAGTTTAAAGTTCATTGTAACGTTGCAAAGATATAGGCATTTAAAAAATGTAAGTTTATTGCGAGTAATAAGTTCCATTGCTAATGAAATACGCCTCAGCTGTGGATCATTTTACTTCTATCGATGTTATCTGTGGATATCTGAAGTACAGGTATTGGTATATTTATGTTGCAGATATTGAGTGAGTATAGTGTGGTGCAACCTTAAAATTCTTGTTTTTCTCTTTCTCCCTTTCAGAGTATCCGTGCCCACAGATTCTCCGAGTTCCCGGAGCCGGGACTGAGACGGGTTCAGCTCCGGAGCTTGGTTCTTCTCCGGACTCCGGAGTCTTATAATACCTCTATACGGAGCAAGGTTTATTAGACTGGAAAAGTTTGGTAAAAATCTAAAGTAAATTTATTAGATCATAAATGGACTAAACATAAATTGACCCTATATTAATAAAATATGTAAACAAAAACCTTGTTATGTGTCATCTAGTTGCTCCTCAGATAATTGAAAAAAGAATGTGTTTCTTTGTAACTAGCGACTACACACAATGGGTCAGGGGTAATATAGGATTCAGACAGCTAAGATTGATTGTCATAACACCTTTTTGATGTTACCCCACTAACTTTTAAAACATATGTCAAAAAAAGTTGAAAATATACAAATAGAATTTTTTTTTTATAAATTCGAGAACCTATAGTGTGGTCTTGAAAATTTCAAATATATTTCAATTTAGATAATAGTTTGCAATAAAATAGTTTAAATCGAATTTACAAAAGCTTAAATTGCATTCAAATTCTTTACAAAAGTTTTCTTTACGCTGCGAAGCTGGAAAAACCTCTAGATTTAAAAGTTGAAAATGAAATATTTATACAAAACGAAAAATGTTTACAATCTTGTATCCATACATTTAAAGAATGGAAAATAGAAAATATATTCAGTGAATGCCCTACTCCATAAGGGTTTCTCAAACCCATATCTTTCCAGGTACAACTCAGTTTCACTTTACAATCAATGTCAAAACCCGGACACAAAAACGTCAGCTATCGATGTTAGCACGGACACTAGCTTGTAAACTATAAAACAATGCCAATCCAACGGACACAATCTCGTCAGCTATCGATGTCAACACGGACACTAGCTTGTAAACTATCAATGCCAAACCAACGGACACAATCTCGTCAGCTATCAATGTCAACCGGACACTAGCTTGTAAACTATCAATGCCAAATCAATGGGCACAATCTCCTCGACTCGTTTGTTCAATAGAAGAACGATTGATTACTCTCTCATAGTAATCAAAGAGGAGTCTATTCCAACTAATGTGTATTTTGATATCTATGTTACAGATTAAGTTTATTATACGTATTTACAAGATTAGCACGGATATAAATAAGCGTAGTTAAGCCAGTTACAGACGTAGTTATAAGTTAATCACAATACAGGTTTTGACGCATTTACAGACTTAGATTATTAAGGTTAATTGCAGAATTTTCAAATTTTTTGTCGTTTTTTGTTGATATTTTGCCCCTTGGATCCGGATCTGGATCCGAATCCAGGAAGCCAAAATCTTGCGGATCCAACGGATCCGGATCTGGATCCTAAGCAGCTCAGAATCGTCATGTTTTGTGAGCTACTGGTCGTTTTTACAGTCTCACCCTTTGTAATCCTTAAATTATAAAAACGTAATTAAACTTACATTGCCACCTAATACTGGTTTCAATGTAAAAGCATTTATCGATATTTCTCTGGATTAGAGATCTAATCAGTGTTTACATAAACATTAAACAGGTCAAGGGTTTGTTTACATAAATACAATGTACATAGTTTATCATAATGTAAACAACCAACAATATTGATGGGAAATTGCCTGAAAATATTTAGTTTTCAAATATGAAAGAGCAGTAAATACTGAAAGGAATCTAATCTGCTATTTAAATGTTTTCCTTCAGATTTTGTCTAAGCTATAACTATGAAATTGATTATTCACTTTTGTAAAAAAACACAATATTTTTGAGGTGACGTAAGAATAAAAGTATGAAATGTGGATTAAAAAGTAGAGCAGTCCCTTTAAATAATACTTCCATTTCAACGTCTTACTCTAAAGGTATTTGTACTGTGTACGCCGTCTTTTCTGCGTATATATAGACAAGAACATTGATTTTATGAACGATATGATAAATATATAAGCAGCCGACCCTACTAAATAATGTAAATATTGACAAGCCATTCTCTAATATGTTTCACGGGTAAAAATAAATATTTTTTTATTTTTAAATTCAAGTCACCGAAATACCGACTAATTTAGGACCAGTGTCTGCTATTTGAAAACCTGTGCACTCAGAGAAAATAAATAAAGTTCATTTAAATACCATTCAAAAGTTTTTGCCTCTTCACAGCAAATACCAGATAATTACGTGTTGCCTTTTGGGGTTTTACCGGGAAAATCATTAATTCTAAATATATTTCATTTATTTGTTTAATGGGAATTGTTTTATTTAAAGCATAAGCGTAATTTCAAGTGACCCTCCCATGCACAGATAGTCCGATTCACACCGATACTCCTAAAAGCTTAGTCTGATAAGTTATGAATTATATATTAATTTTTATAATTTTGAAAACTAATTATTTTTAATTGTAGTTTCTACACAAAAGAAACTTGTGCAATTCTGCTGTAGAAATATAAACGAATCATATCAGAATGAAACATTTTTTATCAGAAAAAGGTTTAAGGTACAGTTTAGAATCGAGCATTGCAATCTGTGCATGAAGGGTCACTTGAAATTCCGTATACAGTCCCTTTAAAGGGAATAGTTTTACTAAAACATTTACACGATACCACCACATAAATCTATTTAGAAGGAGATGATTAATTTGGCGTACTGTTCCGTTTTGTAGTCTATAGTTTAAACATACAAGATTGTACAATTTGCTGTAGCTGTCTACAAAAAGAAATGCAACGAGTATTTTTAGCTGAATGACCTCTTTAAAGGGACTGTAAGCACAATACCAAATGACCCTCTATGCAAAGAGGTCAATGCAATGTTCTTCGAGTTCAGACTGTACACAGCGCACACCGAAATTGAAGCTGAATACAAGCGGGTTTCGACAAGTTTACACACACATATCTCTTTACTCAACGAACACAAAAAGGTTTTACAGGGTAGTGTTGCATAAATTGGGCATTGACCTCTTTGCATAGAAGGTCACTTAGAATAACACTGACAGTACTTTTAAGTGAAAATTGAGCATTCCGATAGTTGGTCTTAATCCCCCCTGGTTGGTCCTGTGTTTGGACATTTATTAGACTAAGAGACAATTAACAGAGACTTGATAGGAATTAAAGTTAATTAGTGCTGATTAGTTAATTGAGGAAGCAGTAAACAATAGATAATATTGGTGCCAGGGGGTACTTAGGTTTAGAATATAAATAAGTAATTTTATCAGACTGAATCAAGTAATGTTTAATTGTCAAGGGACCATATTTAATGAATGGCGAGAAGTAGTTGAACCGCAGAGAAGTAGTTGATCTGCGCAAACGTAGTTAAACTGGTTCTTGCTATTCATTAAATATGGTCCCACAAAAAAATGAAGCTAAAATTAAAGATATACAGCGTGAGTACACGGTGTCTCAATAAAAGTCTTAACAATAATAATGACAAAATACTGGTATTTTAAAAATGTAGTGTGTCTTTTTGTATATTTATTTTTGTGACATTTCAGCTTATACTTACATTTCTATTGTATATTTTTACTTACAGAAATAGTAAATTTTTACCACTATAAACCTTAATTTTAACAGCTAAGAAACGATGAACCTTTTTTGAACAAAATTATGCTTTTTTACGATCATATTGTAAACAGTTGAGACACGTGAAAAGGTATTAAATTTTGCATTAAATTTTCTATATTTTCGAAAAGTTTTGTTAAATAAAATAAAAAAGGAATTTGACCTGGTTAACATTGCATTTTGTGATTGGGAAGCAAAGTTTTGCTTTAATGTTTCTTTTCATAAAGAATTAATGTAAGTTGTAGAAGTTGTCTGGAGTCCACCACAAACTTATCATTAGCGCACTAAACCATACTTAGGTGTTAATTATACTAGTTAACGATAGGGCTGTTAATCTTTTCTGAAAACGATCGTTTTCAAAAACGATCGTTTCGTTATCGGAAAAAAACGATCGTTTATAAAAATGACCCAATCGTTTTGAACTTTAAAAAAAACTAATAACGATCGTTTTTATAAGTACGTTCAGCGATCGTTTTTAATACGATTGCTTAAAAAAACGATAGTTTTTGGAAGTACGATCGTTTCTGATTTTTTTTCATTGATAAATATGTTAACGATCGTTAACGAAGGGCCGTCGTTAACGATCGTTAACGAAACGACGAACTTCATAAAAACTGTTGTTTTTGAAAAAATCGATCGTTTTTGAAAAAGAAATTACATATGCAACTTTATCGAATGTCGTCTTATATGAATCAATAATAAGTACCGATGCCCTTTAGGGCGGTTTCAGCTATCTCCTCCTCTCTTCGTTAACGATCGTTGACAAAGGGTCGTCGTTAACGATCGTTGACGAAACACCGAGTTTTATAAAACAATCATTTTTCAAAACGATCGTTTTAAAAAAAACTAACTTTTTAAAAAAACGATCGTTTTCAGAAACGATCGTTTCGTTTTCGTTTTTTGTCGTCGTTTTCATAACGAAACGATCCTTTAAAAAAATTAAAACCTTAACATTCCCAATTACAGACATATTATTAAACATTGTCTACTCTAAGGTGTTAATTATACTAATTATAGACATGACATATTATATATTGTCTAAGATATTAATTTTACTCTACAGTGATAACGACAATAATAGGAAATAGGAAGACGACTTTTAAACTCAAGTCAGGACTTCAAATAGTTCAATTAACATTAGACATAGCAATTGCACAGTGTAAATAGACCCTTTTCACTTAAATTGTGCTTTGCTAAGTTACTAGTAAAAATATTTTTTTTATCATTAACATCAAAACGCTCAAGCATTGGCGCTATAATATCATCTGTCTATTCCATTGTTTTCTGGATATCACTGTAATTATAAACATATTAATAATTGTCTAATTATTATAGAAAATTCTAGATATTAAACATTGTCTGATGTGTCCATTATACGAATTAAAGACATATTAAAACTAAATTGTTAAGGTGTTAATATATAGGTTGATAAATTAGGTGTGCAATTTCACTGTGATGTGCAAATAACACTGTTTATATCTCATTTTCATAAAGTCTATGGAAAAATCGATTATATGTAATTATAAAATCTGTGGAAAAATCGATAATATGTAATTATAAAATAGAAAAACAAAAAAAATAGTTTTAATAAGGTTAAGAGATAATCCTCGTCAAACTCAAGTGACAACAAAACGTTTTGAATTTCAAATATTTAACCAAAAAGGAATTAAGTATTTGCCACAAACTTAAAATTTCTCATCCCTATATCTTTGCAACCTAATGATGTATAAGCCTTTGATATTTCAAACTTAGATTACTTGATCTAACAGAATTCGAAGTTTGAAATATCTAAGGCCTACGACATTGGGTTGCGAAGATGAAAGGGTTAGAAACCATAATTTGTGGCAAAAACTCATTTCCTTTGATTTTCTCAAACTTATAATCAAAACTAGAGGAGCTATGACGTCACAAAGTCGTACCAGTAGTGTCATATAAAGAAGTTACCACTAGCTCTATATATTTTTGCAATCTAATGTCTTAGACCTCAGATATTTAGATATTTCGAACTCTGAATTCTGTTGAATGTGTGAATTGTCAAAGGTTTACACCATCTGGTTGCAAAGATACAGGGATTTTAAAGTCTGAGTTTGTGGCAAAGACTCAATTCCTTTGACTTTCCCCCCTGTCTAGTTTGCAATGAATCCCAGTTGACTGTAAGAAAATAAATAGAAATGCAATTGTAATCTATGCATTTTGCCCAAATGGTAGTTTGTCCCTTATACTTCCAAATGCAATTGTTTTTTGCCTTTCATGGTGCAGTTTTGTACAGTGTACAATGCACTTAAGAGAAAATAATGTGAAGAGAAAAAGTAAAACTAAAAGGTCATTTTATATATTTAATATCAAATTATAAAGAAAAGAGCACGGAAAATTCTAATAAATCAAATCTAAGAATCTAAGCTTATAAATTTTCACAGATCTCATAATTACCATTTTACCTTTTTTATAAATTTTGTCTCAAATTTTGTTTGCAACACCAGCCTTGCTAGCTAATTACGACATTTTAACCCTAAAAAGGCTGGGCGGTATGAATCTATGTATAGCCTGGGCGGAGGGAAGAGGGCGCCCCCCCCCCCTAGAAAAAGGCCTTAACGAATAGGTATAGGGTTTAAATATATAGTTTTTAGATCTGTAGCTTTAGTCACATAAAAGTTATGGGCTATTTTAGATTTTTTTTATAGACTGGACTTTTTCCCGCCCTGTTGTACCTTTAAAAAAATTTTAAAAACAAACATATTTTTTACAAAAATCCTTTATATTACTATTCATTAAATTCACAAAATTTGTTGGTGATAGTGTCAAAAATTAAATGCTAGGACAAAAAAACTACAGCTAGGGAGGCGCCAAACGCCCCCCCCCCAGCCTGTTTAGGGTTAAAGTATAATATATAAAGGTTTGTAATAAACCATTCCCAAGCAAAATGATTTCACCGCAGCATGCAAGATTTTATAATTCTCAATCTACGGACAACATTTTTATTACTATTTTTCATGCAACTATTTTACAGAAAATTTTCTTTCTCAAGAATTAAGGAAAAGTGTAAAGTATTTTAGTCTCATGATTATTTTCAGAGAAATTACCGTAAATTCAAATGTATGCATTTAAAAACTTTTTTCTCCTCATTTAGTTTTTTTTACTAGAATTTCCTTAGAACACAAAGGAAAAATGAAAACCAGTCAGATTTCTGGGAAATTCAACATGCAAACGTTTGCCAAAAACTTTTAGCTGTGAACACAAATATATTCACTGTAGTTTCAGTAGAAGTTAATATTACCATTTACTGATAGCGCCGATTGAAGGATTCATAACTCTGATTGGATAATGAGATAGATAGAAAGATAGATGTTACCGCCATACTATTTCTATTGGTTCAGAATAGACACCAGTGATATAGCTGAACCCTGATTGGATCAGACGCTAATGGACTCGGCATACAGGAGTGATTAAACCACCTTGTTGAAAAAAATTTCGAGAAGGTTATTTCAAGTGACCCTCCATTTGTTGTGTACTTCTCAACGGCATTGTCCTGTAAACCTTTGACTGATCAAGGATGACGGAGTTATCATTATTTTTATTCGCTTGTAGTTGTAGATTACTTTGTAGTTCATAGATTAATAACAATACAGATAGAACACAAATGTCGTCTTTTCAAGATTTACGGGTTTTTCGTTCACAATAATCCTGAGGCAGAAGCCCAAATGAGTTACGCGCATGCTCTGTCGTTGTCGTAGTTCAACGCCTAAATGTTAAAAAGACGACATCTAAACCTAGTGTTCTATCTGTATTGTTAGTAATCTATGGTATAGTTGGACATGAACTATTTGGGATTTTCATTAAATCAGACATTGTCCTCTTTTCATGGAGAATTAAAATTTAGCCTCCACGCTAAATTAGTGGTTCTGGTGGTTAGTTAGTCTTAACCCATTTTCACCAGTTTAATGAAGATTTATCGTATTTGCTGTGTTTTAATACTTTTTGTTCTACTATACATTTTAAGCATTCAAATATGATTGATCTGTTACTGTTACGCGATTTCAAAAGATGTTAAAATAGAAAACAATTTATGACTAAAAATATGTTGACGGGTGCACTTCGTTGTAGTTTCACGTGCGGTGTTTCCAGTCTATCTGACATACTGCAGGGTGTTTAAAAAAAAATCACATTTTTTTCTCTCAGAGGCTTATTTTTTACCCGATCATAATGAAAATAGTATGCCAACTTGCCAAGGTCTCTATCAAGAAATATATAGACTCCTCTGCAGGAACCGCCAAATCTGATGCGTCAAATCTGTGTACTGTAGGGGGAGGAGATCAAAACGAAGAGTTCAGGGGCAACTCATCATTTTTGAGGGATAAGGCCCCAAGGCAAGGGGTGGAATAAGAATATATTGCTATTGTATTTTCCATATCGACAAGAAAGCCAAAAATCATATGTATTCGCTCTAACTTGATATATTAACTTGTTTTTGTTGGACTCAAATAGTTTATCAAGTACAATAGGTGGCAACAGAGAAATGAACCAATTATACACAACGTCACAAGTGTCAAATATAACAAGCAAAACGAAATTGTCTCACATTAGTTGACATGTTTTCCAAGATTAAATAAAAAAGTGTAAAAACAGAAACTAAAGGACACATAAAATTGCACTTATTTTACCGTAAGAAAAGCACTTTATTCTAAAATTATCACTATTATTGATAATTTTGTCGGACACAAAAACTGAATTGACACTTATGACGACAGAATACAACTGTACTGAGAGTGTACAAATTCTACGTTGCCATCTATTGTATTAGAATCTATTTGGTTGGACTGTAATATCACATCAAAGCTTTAGTCCTTTCCCTTCAACTTCTGTGGGGGCACTGCGTTTGTTTACATTCCTCCCACAGTGTACAGTACATAATATACGTATATCTGAGTGGGGCGTTCCTGTATATAGTTCCTTGGTCTCTATGATGAAAGGCCAATGTAAAAAATAATCGGATTTGGTCAACCCTGCTCTGAAAAAATGATCGGTGTCTCTTGGGGATGAAACTGATAAGCCTACGTGCAAAAAAAAACATGTGGCTAAAAATGACAAGAATATGTTTAAAGATATTTAATAAAATAAAACTCTGTAGCTTTGTATCTTTCAAGATTACAAGTTCAGGGTTGAAGTAATTTGACCCAACATCCTATTAGGAAGAAGTTTGAAAGAGCGAATAGAAAGGTACAAATAGATTATCAAGTACAAGAGATGGCAACAGAGAAATGGACCAATTATACACGTCATCACAACTGTCAAATTTAATAAGGAAAACGAAATTTTCTACATTAGTTGACATGGCTTTCAACTTTCCAAGATTAAATAAAAGATTATACATAGAAAATAAAGAATACATAAAATGCACTTTTTTAACTGTAAGATAAGCACTTTATTTTAAAATCATCACTATTATTAATTGTCGGACACTAAGACTGAGCTGAGACTTGTGACGTCAGAATACAGCTGTACTGATTCTACGTTGCCATCTATTGTACTTGATAATCTATTTGGAAAGAGCGAGTAGAAAGGTGTAAAGAGGATGTACACATAAGATCATAAGAAGTTATTTTGAATATTTATTTTGGCATCCGTCTCATTAATGTGTGTAACTATATCCAACCCAACATAACACAGTGTATGCTACACATATGCTCATCTTGTGATCATTCATAAGTTTTGACAAGGTTAGGAAAAGTGGGGTAGTGGTACCCTAACCCAGTTTTCTCTGCGTAATGTATTGATCTGCAGTACTCTAACTGAAAACAAAGTGGGGTAGTGGTACCCTAACCCAGTTTTCTCTGCATAATGCATTGATCTGGAGTACTCTAACCGAAAACAAAGTGGGGTAGTGGTACCCTAACCCAGTTTTCTCTGCGTAATGCATTGATCTGCAGTAGACTAACCGAAAACAAAGTGGGGTAGNGGAACCCTACCTGAGTAGGAACCCTACCTGAGTAGGAACCCTACCTAAGTAGGAATCTGCGTAATGCATTGATCTGCAGTACTCTAACAAAAAACAAAGTGGGGTAGTGGTACCCTAACCCAGTTTTCTCTGCGTAATGCATTGATCTGCAGTACTCTGACAGAAAACAAAGTGGGGTAGTGGTACCCAAACCCAGTTTTCTATGCGTAATGCATTGATTTGCAGTACTCTAACTGAAAACAAAGTGGGGTGGGGCCTGTAAGCGTAACATGAATAATTCTTCCCTAAAAGGCTTTGTATAATCAAATATGAATTAGATATCAATGTTTATAATTTTGAAAACAGATAATATATGTATATCATTCAAAACTAGCATTTTTAGGAAGAGAGGAAAAAAAGATAGCAAGGAACTGAGTTTTTGCCCCAAACTCAAACGTTCTACTCCCTAGATATGTGTAACCTGAGGGTTGATATTGAAAACTTTGATCCAATATAATAGAAATAGAAATAGAAATCCAATAGTTTGAAATTTCAAAGGTTTAAAATTCGGAGTTTGTGGTATGAACTCAGTTCCTTTCTTTAAACGAAAAGGGATTGGGACCGGGGGTAGGAAAGATAATACAAATTAGGTAGGACAATAAATTGTAAGGAGGGAAAATTTCTTCTTTTGACAGTAAGTATATACAGAATTTACATTCCGACCATGTAAGCCTAATCCTGTAAGCCTGGATTTATCTTCAAGCTAACACCAGGAAACTAAGGTATCGTTTTACAGTGGATAACTTTACATATCCACAAGGGATAACGGACTGGGGGTTTTATAGGGTTTTAAATCTTGAATATTTTCTTTTAATGGTAAAGATCCCATACACAACTGGATAGTACCATGAATGCAAGTAAAAAGACTGAGTGAATTCCGTACAGTCGTCTCTGAAGTCTCATTCTTTTATTCTTTTACCATTGATAGATTAGGAATTGCTTATTTCAGCAAGGAATATACAAGAAAATATCTTTACTTTGTTTACAAATAAAGTGTACTGCAGTACTGTACTGTGAGTATTGCACAGAACTTTGAATGTTATACTATACCAGTGCAGTGTACTGTGTAAGTACAACAGGTTTCGTAATAGAACAGATAGAATTTAATAAAAATATTTTCAGAAAACGTAAAGAAAAATGATTTTATGGATATTATCTAGCCTAGTCCTGGGGTGTACTGGTGGATCAGGTAAATTACAAATATTCTCAAATGAGTTTATTAATTTTTCAAACTTTCTTCGTCCTAAACATTTTGGGTTTTTCGTTCAAAAGACGAATAATCTCACACCAATCAATTCAAAATATAAAAAATGAAAAAAAATGTTAATTGAAGTTAGTTCAGGGTACGCTCTGTATTGGCGTACTATCTATATCTAACTGAACTCATTACCTAGAAACGAATACCTTGACAAACATTTTATTTTTCCCCAAAAAAGGGATATCTGAAAAAATTCCTTGCATGCATGAATTTTTCTGCAAATAATATGCAACCTCAGTTAAACCTTGGAAAGCAAAGCAAGGAATAAATTTCTAATATGCAATTTTAAACACAATTTGAATTGATTTAAAAAATTCTATTTTAGATGGAATTTTATAAAAAGTAAATGAAAAATGTATCAAAGAAGAATTGCACACTGTAAAATCTAATAAATTTTGGTTTCCACCCAATACCCTTACTTTATGTTATTACTTTATATAATTGAACCAGTCTTACTCAGTTTAACTACTCTTTACTTATTCACAAAAGAATTGAGTCACAAATTCTTATTTTCTAATCCCTATTTCTTTGCAACCCATTGTTATAGACCTTTGAGCTCTGTTAGATGAAACAATCTAAGTTTGATATATCAAAAGTTTGCAATATCAGTTTGCAAAGGTTGCAAAGGGATTGGGAAATTTGAGTTTGTGGCAAAAACTCACTTTTCCTTTACCTTTCATGTGTAGATATATTTATTTTTTTCTGAATTTTTTTTTTATTTATTTATATTTGATAATAAAAGACCATTTCCAGGGTTTGCTACAACCTTTTGTTACTTTATAAATATTTGATAATCCTTCTTTTCATTTTATATCTTTTGTTGCCTTCCCTTTGATGTATATATGTATACCCATTGACTGATCTATTATCAATAGACCTACTCTAGTTCTTTGCTAACAGAAGATAAAATTATCCTTTTATAATATTTTTTGTCAAAAAACAAGCTTATTTTATTTTATTTTAAAATCTTACATCTTTTCTACACAAGTTTTTTGTCTTTACACATCCTGAAGCGAGATCCAGAAAAGAGTGGAATAGGAATCTTTAACTGTATTTGATGGTGTTACAGCATTATTACTTTTACTTGTAGCCTTAAATCCCTTTTTAAGTGAATGGGTCTGTGTACACTGCACAATAGGTTTCCCATTTCACAGTTTTCTAGTTCTCACAATCATGAAAATAAATGTTCTCACACTTGGGTTTAAATAAAAACTAGAGTTAAGAGGTCAAAAAGTTAAACCCTTAATATCGTTTTTCTGGTGGTGAGGTTAGAGAATTGTTAGTTACTGATGCTACATACACTTTGTACAGTTTCAAGTATACTGCTCACTTAACCTACTTTATGTAGAGCTATAAAGAAAAGAAGTAACATTTGTATGACAAATCAAAGGGACTGTAAAATGAAAGGGGGTAGAGGATGAAACCTGAGAATCTCAGGCGTTGAACGATACATAAAAAACATCTATCTGATGTTCCTGTCTCGAGAAATTAATATAAAACTATCACATGACGGATACTGCACTGCCATTGGCTGAAGTTATGGTGACGTAATACGAACTATACGGACTAAATGAAATAATATTATCAATTATATCTTTTAAAAATGCAAAGTAAAAATTAAAAATTATAATAGGAGCAAACCTAAGATTCTTGAAGGCTCCTGTGGGATAAAATCGTTTCAGATTGGTTTCGTATTTGCTGAATATGATCTTATATGCACCGTTCAACGCCTGAGATTCTCAGGTTTCGTCATATACCCCCTTTTGATTTTTCCTTTACAGTCCAGCTTTAAGGTCGAAACTTATGAATAAGATGTTGCTCATTTCAAATGCTCAAACTCAAAGTCCACGACAGCAATTATAAAAATTTGAAGCGATAAAGTGTTTAACTTAATTCTGTTTAATGCAGCTGCCTCACATTTTCGCGTTCTCTCATTAATAATATAAAAAATAAGTTATTAAATCCGTACGACGCGACGTACAACAAAAGAAACGGATTTATGCTCTCTCAATGGATTAACAATTCAAAAGTTTATTTAAGCTGTTAGCTGTTTATTAAACAAGATTAAAGATTTGTTTTTGCTTCTCTTGTTAGCAATGGTAGCATATTTTTAAAAACTTTAAACTTAGTTTGTCTTGAATTTTTTTCCCTTCTTTTTAGTCGTGACAAAATCCTCCGTTTTTAGATTACAACGCTGATTACATTCTCCTACCTGAACATAGGCCTACCCCCTCTACACCTTCATTCCTCCCCGCCCACTCACCAAATATATCCGTCTCTGTGGGGGAGAGGGCGGTCCTCAACTGCAGAATCAACCACGCCACGATGAACACCGTATCCTGGGTGAGGGTGGGTGAAGGTGGGGCAGGACCTGGAAAGGCTGGTGGAGCACCTGAACTACTAGCTGTGGGTCGGTTCGTTTTCAGTCCTGATGGCAGGTTGTCAGTGGCTCAGGTTCAGCATACTCAGGACTATATGCTGATCATACAGGTTAATAAACTTAATTATTTATGTATATACAGAGCGTCCCATATCATATTTTATTATCTTTAATCTTTAACGCCAAAATAAACACTTATATATTAGCCTTATTCAAATTTTCAAAATGATTCAAACTTCTTAAATTTTTTGATTAGTTCCGAAAATCGTAACTTAGATCCATTGACAATCTAATATGATGGGACACTCTGCATATCAGTAAAACACCCTTCTTCCATGGTTCATGAGCTTGGTATTACAAGTTTATTATAGACGAATTTTGGTTCCTTTCTATCCCCCTAGATTCAAAAGTTCGGAGGGAGATTTTGAAGATTAATGAGCATATAACACATGTTTCTAAGGTTTCATTTTCTAAAGATTTAAAATAATGAAACTTTATAGCAATTAGTTTTTTTTTCTAAAAGCCTAACGCAGTTAATTATACAGAGATTGAAGCGATATTTAAAAGTGGAATGCACAATTCACAACAGTACTCTTATTATTTCTTACTGTGTTGGAAGAGATAATAATTTTTCAAAACTGAAAAGTTTAAATTAATGTTAAATTCCTCCAAGAAAAAGAAAGTCATTTTACCCCCTCCCCCCCCCCCATCCAACCTGAGTGAAGAATCGCATGCATTTTAAAAAGATTAAGAATAATGAAAGTTTATGGCCATTACTTTGCTTTCTTATAAAAGCCTATATTATTATTCAAGGAATAACATTGGAAAAGTCATTATTATTAAGATAAAGAGCTTTCAATGTGAGAGCTTGAAAATAGATCATCACAATTTGGGCCAGGGGGGCGGGGGGGGGGGGAAACGGAAAACACTCTCCCCTTTTCCTTACTCTTACAGCCTTTTAAGTAAAGAATTGCACGAATGAAACTAATAGTGTCATAAAATGCCGGTTTACATTCAACACAATTTATATTCCATGCTAAAACACAGAAGAAATGCGGATACTTTTATAACGCATAATAAAACTGAGATTATTAAATAAACCATTCACTGTACATAATAGAAATGTAGTTTTCGGTTGTCTAGTACGTGTGGTCGCGATACTTTAAGGATTAACTAAAAGATTTAAACAGTAGGCTCAGTTAATTCCTTTTCTATTTATTAATATTTCTTTCTATTTGAAGAAAAAATAATTAAAATGTCCAATTTTGATTTAAAATGTTGCTTAGGGTAAATTAATATGTAGATTAATCATTCTTGTTCATCAAATCCATGTTTCCTTAATATTGCATGTTTTACTGATTCATCAATTTTCAATATTTATTGTATTTACACAATGTAAAACATAAATAAGATAAATAAATAGATAAATGGAAAAGTTTTCTTATGCTAGACAGAACTAAAAGTAAATGAATTACATTTCAACCGAGAAATTCCCTGATGAAACGAATTTTCAAAAATTAAAAGTTTTATTGTTTTTAAAAATTAAAAGTTTTACTATTTCTCATGCAGTTTTTAAGCATTTTGGACTTTGGTTGGTTACATTAAAAGGAACTGAGTAACTGCCAACGAATAAGATTCTCTAATCCATATATCTTTGCAACCGAATGATGTGAAGCTTTGATATTTTAAACTTAAATAAATTCATAATTCGACATAGATTATATAATAGTGTGTAACAAGAACTCATTTCCTTTTTATTTAAATCACTCAGACGAGAAAATTCCCGAAATAAAAAGTAGTATATTACTATCTAGTATCTATCTATTTTCATTTTCAAATTATTAGTATTTTTTGTACAAAAGCGAACTGTGAAACCGCGAATTTTTCTGTGTCTTTTTCTGTTAAGGTTAACTAACGTAAAAAAAATAAGAAAAAGCAACTCCTACGTTTTCTAATTTTTTTGTATTCCATGTTCCGTCTTAAAAAAACAAAAAATTTAAACCAATCTCCACTTAAGAGTAGGTTGAAGTTGATATTGAGTATAAAGTATACATAAATCAATTTCTGATAAAAGATTAAACAATATACTTCAACTAAACGTTAAAACGACGGAAAGCCTTTCTCAAAACTTCTTAGCTCTAACACAGAGATCTAGGAAGCTTTGACCCGGTCGACTATTAAGTGTCGCAACTTTTACCTTATTAACTCAATTGCACTTTTTGAAGCCCCATACATGCTCGTTAACGAGCTTGTTTCTCCCTCAGACATGCTCGTTAATGAGCTCGTTTCTCCCCCAGACATGCTCGTTAAAGAGCTTGTTTCTCCGCCAGAAATGCTCGTTAAAGAGCTTGTTTCTCCCCCAGACATGCTTGTTAAATTGCTTGTTTCTCCCCCAGACATGCTTGTTAAAGAGCTTGTTTCTCCCCTAGACATGCTCGTTAAAGAGCTTGTTTCTCCCCCATACATGTTCGTTAAAGAACTTGTTTCTCCCCCATACATGCTCGTTAAAGAGCTTGTTTCCTTCCCATACATGCTCGTTAACAAGCGTGTTTCTCCCCCATACATGCTCGTTAAAGAGCTTGTTTCTCCCCCATACATGCTCGTTAAAGAGCTTGTTTCTCTCCCATACATGCTCGTTAAAGAGCTTGTTTCCTTCCCATACATGCTCGTTAACAAGCGTGTTTCTCCCCCATACATGCTCATTAAAGAGCTTGTTTCTCCCCCATACATGCTCGTTAACAAGCTTGCTTCTCCTCCATACATGCTCGTTCACGAGCTTGTTTCTCCCCCATACATGCTCGTTAACGAGCTTGTTTCTCCCCCAGATATGCTCGTTAACAAGCTTGTTTCTCCCCAAACAAGCTCGTTAACGAGCTTGTTTCTCCCCCAGACATGCTCGTTAATGAGCTTGTTTCTTCCCCAGACATGCTCGTTAACGAGCTTGTTTTTCTTCCCATACATGCTCGTTAACGAGCTTGTTTCTCGCTTCAGTTTGAAAGGAATAATTGGCGAAATGCTGATAGATATTCGCGTAACAGCGTGCACATTTTTTATCCCTGTGATATTGTCTTGCTATTGGGATTTTGATCTACCGGAGGAATATTTTATAGTATTCCTATCACGTTGGGTTAAACGTCTAATATAAGTTGGATAAACTCACAATAAATTGTTTACCACCATTCCCACTTTATACATGCACTTCTAAACATGAAAATTTCAGTGTAAAGCTCATATCTGTTTTTTGAAATGAGGGTGGAAAAAAATTCCTAAAAAAGGGTAAAAAATGAATAAATTTTTTTTTTCACAGACCGGACTTTTTTCCGCCCTTTGCGGTGTGCCCTACCCTTTAAATTAAAAAAATATATATTTTTTTAACAAAAAATTCTTTAAATTACTATTTATTAGAAGTCACAAAATTTCACGGTGAAAGTGTCAAAAATGAGAGTGCTAGGACAAATAAACTATGGGGGGGGGGCGCCAAACGCCCCCCCCTCTCCCAGCCTGTTTAGGGTTAAAGCTAAGATTTAGTAAAGCAATATAACTGTGTAGGAGGATTCAATACTTAAGTTCATGACTAAGTTGTAACTTGTAAGTGGATTAACTTGAAATATCTTAAATGGATATCTATCTATCTAACTTTATCTATCTATCTATCTATCTATCTATCTATCTATCTATCTATTTTTTTGTTTTGGCTAAGTTATAACTTTTAAATGGATTACCCTCCCATATCTATCTATTTATCTAACAATCAATCTATCATTCTGATTATCTATTATAATACTTTTTATGTGGAATGCAATTTTACTTATCCCTATCCTGATCGAGCTATTTTTGTCTAATATAGATTGTGGGGGGGGGGGGTGTTTTCCACCCCCCCTTTGATTTTGCCCTTATAGTTGAGATAGAGGAGTGTTGTAAAATGACACTTTTCCAATTTTTCAAGGCCTGCTCATTAAAAAAAATTACACCTCTAAATTAAATGGTTAGGGAAGATTTTTAAAAACTTCAAAAGTCGAAAAAAATTTTAAAACTAGTCATCTTTTCTTTTGACAAATATTAACACGAGTTATCATATCCATTTTTCAAGGCTTTTTTAATATATAAGTCTTAGCTTTGTAGCTTAATTAATATATAGTTATAAACCTTTTCTGATTTTTTTTTACACCGACCCTCTTCACCCTACACTATGCATCAAAAAAAGTTTGTTATCAAATTTGTTCACAACTTTGTTGTTGAGAAAGTGAAGAAGTTTTAGCGTTCTAATGTAAGCCATTTTTAAGCTATTTAGAAGAAACCACGGGGGAGGGGGTGAAAAACAAATTTTACCGTACTCAATCGGACATGTCCCTTGGTCAATGGAGTTTCACTTTAAACTACGTCTACAGTCCCTTTAAACCCAAATATTTCAGCGTGCGACTTTACAAGACTCTGGTTGGTATGAATGTCAGCTGAATACTGATCCCCACACAAGTCATGGAGTTCATCTTAGTGTTGTTGGTAAATATTTTCTACGAATATTAACGGATTAATTTTCCTGTTTACTGATTTTTCCTGTGTCCTGATATTTTCCCGTTTCCTGATATCTTCCTGTCTCCTGATTTTTCCTGTTTTATGATATTTTCCTGTTTCTTTATATTTTCTTGTTTCCAGATATTTTCCTGTTTCTTTATATTTTCCTGTGTCCAGATATTTTCCTGTTTCTTGATATTTTCCTGTTTCTTGATATTTTCCTGTTTCCTGATTTTTCCTGTTTCATGATATTTTCCTGTTTCTTTATATTTTCCTGTTTCCAGATATTTTCCTGTTTCTTGATCTTTTCCTGTTTCCTGATATTTTCCTGTTTCCTGATATTTTCCGTTTATCCATTAGAACCGAGTAGTCTGGTTGAAGGAGAGAAGGAGGTATATGTAGATGGTGGATCCTCCCATTCAATAACATGCAGGGTACAATCTCCCTCTCCTCCTCATCATATATTCTGGTACTTTAATGGACAGGTCAGTACACAGTTCTTTACAGAGTACAAAGTACAAAGAACAGAGACAGTTCGTTACAAAGAAAAAAGTACACACGCAGTTAGCTACAGAGTACAAAGTACGCACACAGTTCGTTACAGATTGCAAAGTATAAAGTACACAGACAGCTCGTTACAGAGTACAAAGTACAAAGTACAATATAGTTCGTTACAGAGTAAAAAGTACAAATTACACACACAGTTCGTTACAGCTAGTACAAAGTATACGCAAAGTTAGGTATAGAGTACAAAGTACAAAGTGCACACAAAGTTCGTTATTGATTACAAAGTACAAAGTACACAGACAGTGCGGTACATAGTACAATGTACGAAGTACACAAACAGTTCGTTACAGAGCTCAAAGTAAAAATTACACACATACTTCGTTACTACGTACAAAGTACAAAGTACACAGACAGTTCGTAACAGAGTAAAAAGTACGAAGTACACAGACAGTTCTTTACAAAAGCACAAAGCACAAATTACGCACAAAGTTCGTTACAGAGTACAAAGTACAAAGAACACAAACAGTTTGTTACAGAGTACACACAGAGTAAAGTGAAAGTACAGACACAGTACAGTCATACTATATAGTGTACACAGTACAGTACATATAGTTCACTATAAAAAGTAAAGATGATTACACATTATAGTCCTTAATTGACAGTAAATAGTCATAAGAGTACAGTTAGAGTAAAGAGCTAAGTACATAGTACACAGATCAAGCTATTTTTCTACTATATTTTTCACTCAGCTAATGAAAAGTGAAAAATTTAGAGAGTTTGTGTTGTATAGAAATTGTATCTACTTTTACTTTTGTGTGTTTTCAAAACGTTGAAAGAATATGTTCAATTACTGGCCTACTCAATAACATAACGTGTGGTACAATATGTTTTATGATTGATTACGTACTGGTGTGAAAACATAGTTTTATGTTTAGTAATACAGTAAAAAATAGATTTTCATTTTAGAACTTTTGTAACGGTGAATAAATGAATTTGGAAAATCAAAGTGGGATGAACGTCCTGCTTTTTTTAATAACAAATAAGACTGAAAAAGATTTTCTGGAACCCTTCAAAATTATCATTCCAGGTGTTTTGATTGTTAAAGATTTACATTATAAAATAGCAACAATAACATAAAAAACAATTTTCCCATCGTTATTTTCCAGCTTTTTTTGAGCGTTTTAACTCGTAGCGATTTATCTTAGTGGTGTTACACGGGCAGCCATAGTACAATTTAATCTCCGAGCCGGTTACCTTTCCGGTCCCAGTTTGTACTGTACCTAGCCTAGCTCTATGGACAGGACTAGCCGGTGCAACAAGGTTGACGCGGTCAGACTTTATGCTTCATATAGGTTGAATTTACTTTTACTGAAGGGCCAGAGGTGTGACATTTTCTATGTACACATTTTTTAAAAACCCAACCCCGTTTATTCCTTTTTACTTGAAAGAATGGATCTATAGAAGAAGCAACTTGGCCTCTAATATTTTATGAAAAAAAAGCAAAAAAAATTTTTTTTTAATGAAATTATATATTTACATTCTTACATTAATCAATAAAAATCCAAATGAATCAAGTTTATTCTGCAAAATTACCTAGAAATGTTTAATTTCTTTTTGTTTAATTTCGTTTTTTAATTTGAGATTCTGATAATTCCTAAATATTTCCGTGCAAACCTATGTATACAATTTTGTCCATGCAACCTTCACATAGTTGGGATTTCCTTAATTCAAATCACTTTAATTTTATGGTTTAGAAAACGATTATATTATTATAACCAAAGTGACCACATTAAATTCCCGGTTTATACCAGATTATTATTATAACCCTAGTGACCAAATTATATTCCCGGTTCATACCAGATTATTATTATAATCCTAGTGACCACATTATATTCCCGGTTTATACCAGACTATTATTATTACCCTAGTGACCACGTTATATTCCCGGTTTATTCTAGACTATTATTATAACCCTAGTGACTACATTATATATTCCCGGTTTATACCAGACTATTATTATAACCCTAGTGACCACGTTATATTCCCGGTTTATATATACCAGATTATTATTATAACCCTAGTGACCACATTATATTCTCGGTTTATACCAGATTATTATTATAACCCTAGTGACACATTATATTCCCGGTTTATACCAGATTATTATTATAACCCTAGTGACCAAATTATATTCTCGGTTTATTCCAGATTATTATTATAACCCTAGTGACACATTATATTCCCGGTTTATTCCAGATTATTATTATAACCCTAGTGACCACATAATATATTCCCGGTCTATACCAGATTATTATTTTAACACCCTAGGTATAAGTATCACCAGGTAAAATACGAATTAATAATGGCTTCAATATTTATTGTTATTAATATATAGAATTATAGGAATTAAGTATACATTATGTATAAACATCTCAATCAAATAAAACTCTTTTCTTTTTAAAGTTTTCTTTTTCAATACTTCTGGACCTAAATAGTTTCTAAGAATAATTAGAAAGAACTATATTTTGTCATTTACCTACTTAGTGCTATAATTATTCACAACTTTTAGACCAGAAACTTTTACAGGAAAAAGTTTTAATCTTAAATATATTAATCGATATTTCTGCAAAAAAAGGTTATTTAAGTTTTAACCATTTGCTAATCTTTTTGTACATTAAATATTTATGGAGATGTAGAACTTTTGAACCATTTTTGATTTTTTAAAGAAAGTTTATATTCTAAGTTAATATGAACGCTAATTTTTTTTTGATTTGGGTCATTACAGCTGAAATATAATCGTGACAACCTATTCTATTAACCCGCCCTCTGAATATTAAAAATCTTTTAGTCAACTCTTCTTCCTTTATAATCCATGTCATTATGAATCCATTATATATTTATTATTATACATTCATTAGAACAAAATTCCCCCAAACTTAATTTAATAATCAAACCTAGAAATATGATGTATCACATAAGCTTTCACTAGGACTAGAGGACTGGGTGTTTTATCCTTTCACGAAATAATGTTACTCGCTTCATGTATCGTAGATCCATTAATTTATACAATATTAGACGCTTAGAAAGTTTGCTTATGTTTATTTGACTTTTATTTTAGTCTTTGCCACAAACTCTTATCTTCTAATTTTCATATATTTTTAGAACTCCATGTAGTAGAATATTTCAAGTCATGTTCAGTTAGATAATGTAATCTAAGTTTGAAATATCGAAGATTTAAACCATCAGGTTGCAGAGATATAGGAATTAGAAAATTTGAGTTAGCACCAAAGTCTCAATTTATTTTCCTAATGGATATATGCGTAGACATACGCATATTTACATATTGGTTTGAAAGTAAATTTGGAAAATGTTCTAAACAGTCCCTTGAGAGTATTGTTAATATTATTACTATTGTTAAAACAAACTATAATGATATAGCCAGTGGGGTATTAACTATATGATATTCTAGTAAATAATAATAATGTTTTCGTGTTCAAATCAATTAGAAGTGTTATAATTCCTACTGTGGGGAAATAAATCCTATTTTCTAATTTGTGAAAGAAATATGTTTAGAAATATATACCACGCTGAACCAAAGTAAACTGGGTTTAGAAATATATACCACGCTGAACCAGAGTGAACTGGGTTTAGATATATATACAACGATAAACAAGAGTAAAAAATATAAACCACGTAGAAACAGAGTAGGTTGGGTTTAGAATTTAGTATCACGCAGAACCTGACTTCATGTTCCATGTTTAGCCCCTGACTCCACGTTCTATGTTTAGCCCTTGACTTCAGGTTCTATGTTTAGCCCCTGACTCCAGGTTCTATATTTAGCCCCTGACTCCATGTTCCATGTTTAGCTTTGACTACAGGTTCTATGATTAGCTTTGACTACAGGTTCTATGTTTAGCCCCTAACTCCAAATTCTATGTTTAGCCCCCTGACTCCAGGTTTTATGTGTTAGCCCCTGACTCCAGGTTTTATGTTTAGCCCCTGACTCTAGGATCTATGTTTAGCCCCTGCAACTCTAGGTTCCATGTTTAGCCCCTAACTCAAGGTTCTATGTTTAGCCCCTGACTCTTGGATCTATGTTTAGCCCCTGCAACTCCAGGTTCCATGTTTAGCCCCTGACTCCAGGTTTTATGTTTAGCCCTTTACTCCAGGTTATAAGTTTAGCCCCTGACTCTAGGATCTATGTTTAGCGCCTGCAACTCCAGGTTCCATGTTTAGCCCCTGACTCCAGGTTCTATGTTTAGCTTTGACTCAAGGTTCTATGTTTAGCCCCTCACTCCAAATTCTATGTTCAGCCCCTGACTCCAGGTTGTATTTGTTAGCCACTGACTCCAGGTTCTATGTTTAGCCCTTAACTCTAGGATCTATGTTTAGCCCCTGCAACTCCAGGTTCCATGTTTAGCCCCTGACTCCAGGTTCTATGTTTAGCTTTGACTCCAGGTTCTATGTTTAACCCTTAACTCCAGGTTATATGGTTAGCCCCTGACTTAAGGTTCTATGTTTAGCTTTGAATTCTGGTTCTATGTTTAGCCCTTTATTCCAAATTCTATGTTTAGTCCCTGACTCCAAATTCTATGTTTAGCCCCTGACTCCTGGTTCTGATATAAGACTAGAGGATCATCTGAACCCTGGGATGAGCTGGAGCAGACTTAATATTGATCGAGTATCCACTAAACATACAGGTAATAATACAAAGCTTAGAAAAAAACTTGAAAAAACAATATTTTATTTACTGAACGAACCAATTTTCCAAAAGATTTTGAAAAAAACGATTTTTTTTACTGAACGAACGATTTGTTTACCAATATTTTGAAAGAACTATTGTTTTTTACTAAAAGCACAATTTTTTCTAAGAAACCTTTCGAAAAAACGATAGTTTTTTAACTAAACGAACTATATTTATTAGACGATTTTACTGAATAATCGTTTAGTGAGAAAACGAACGTAATAGATATAAAATTAACGATAATTTGGAGAACGAAATAAATCAAATTCTTTTTGAACGATTGAAAAAAAAACTAACGGAATGGATAAATGGATAGATGAATAGATGTTATAATGTTGATAGAAGGCTAGAAATATGGATTGTTCATGAACGATGAATGAACAAAATGAAAAAGCCGAATGCGCCCATTTTAACAATGGGGCGTTTGACAATGTTTTTTAAATAATAATTTAATTTTAAAAGCCTAAAATCCATAAAACTAAATGAAAAATAGCTTAATACAAATCAAAAATTCCTTTTTTTCAAATTAACTATTCCAAGTTATGCATTCAATTTTGTTTTAGAAAAAATAAATTATATTTCCACATTTATTTGAAACGATGACAGAATGCTTCTTTTACAGTTTTTGAGGGTTTATCTTGATAAATTAAAGGTGAAGCGGATAGGGGCTGTGTACACAATTTTACTACGACGTATTCTAATTTTATCAAAATGGGCAAGTTAGGAAGGGATTGTAAAAATCATTGTTTATTTATCTTAACCAGTTTCTGAACGGCCTTAATGCGTCGTATGCGCAAACCCTATCCATCCTATTTTATGTACATGTAAACACACGACGGACGCCGGAGCCTGACATGGGATCCATCTTTTACATAAAAAATCAATGAAATATTCTGGTCATAGGAAACTATTATGTGAATTATCAAAATGTAATGCTTTTAACCTCCTCGGATACTAAACAAACACTGATGCATCTATTCTTGTTTTGAAATTCCGCCCAGAGAGAACTGGTTGATAGATGTATACAAGGTTATAATGCAAGGAAAGTTAGATGCAGTTGCGTATACTCTGCGTACATATTGAAACCAAGGAGATATAGAATAGAAGGAGGGGGCGATAGGGTTTCATTACACTTTGCTGTGACGTTTTTGGACTGCTGAAGAACTAGTTTTTGCGTAACAAAAATAACAAAGGCAGCCGATCTAATGTAAACAAACATGAGTTAGTAAACTGTTAATCTTGTTAAAAAAGATTGAAAGTTAAGGATTTTAGTTTTATACAAATTTATATATATTTTATATATCTGTACTTTATATATAAAATATAAATGGTAAAGAAGCAGCTTTAGCAATGCATGGAAAGGAAGGGGGGCTTGTACATATAGACATTAAATATTCATCTTGATCTTGATCCTGATCTTGATCTTGATCTTGATCTTGATCTTGATCTCGATCTTGATCTTGATCTTGATCTTGATCTTGATCTTGATCTTGATCTTGATCTTGATCTTGATCTTCAGATCTTGATATTGGTACTGATCTTTATTATCATATTAATCTTTGTCCTCTGATATTCATCTTGATTTTGATCTTGATCTTGATCTTGATCTTGATGACACTAATATTGCTGTTACAGGAAACCCTCCTGCTGAGCTGCAGCCTCCTGTTACAAGTTCATCAGATCAATCAATCAATCAATCAATATATTTTCTTATTCTTCTCACAGTTTCAGGAATTCTGGTTTAAACATTATATAAAGTTTGAAATAATCATAAACCATCAACTTCATTTTTGTTGATTTAAAATTCATGTTCATTTTTGTTTTTGATGCACTCTTACAATCAAACAGATTATTTCGTCAAGATTTTAAAAATGTGTAAAGGATAAACCTTATTTCTGAAAAAAAAGTTCAAAAATGAAGAAAGAGCTGGAAACTTTTAAATTGGATTAATTAGGAGTAATTAAGTCTTATTCATCATATTGCAAATATTTGAATGTCTCATCTGAGGTTTTATTTACCTCTCATTGGTCAAAATTTTATCCATTTTTGACCAATGGGAGATTGATAAAGTTCACAGTGCAACCATAACAGAATTAATAATTTAACCGATTAAATCGATTAAAAAAAATTCATTCTAAAGTTCCCAGCTCAATTTGTATAAAAATAAATCGATTTTTTGCTGGTATCTTTGCCTAAAGACACTAAATCTTTGCCACAAACTCAATATTTTTCATTTATATATATTTGCAACCTTTGATATTTTCAACTATGGTTATTTAATCTAACAGGGCTCATAGTCTACAAAATTGAATTGCAAAGATATTGGATTTAAAAAATCAGAGTTTGTGGCTAATACTCAATTCCTTTATATATTACGAAAACAGGGGCAGAATTTAAAGAATTTAAGCCGCGGCTTAAATTTGAGACGCGGCTCAAATATGGGTGGTTCCACTTAACATTGTAATAAATGTTTCATGTTTTAAGCCGTTACTCAATCGAAACCGGTTTTTGGCGGATTTGAGACGCGGCTCAAATTCATTAAATTCGGACTCAGGAAAATTAGCCAAACATTTTTTTTGCAACAAAGTTTTTCGAGTTTGTTGCTTTTACATAATTATGAATTGTTGATTGAACATGGATACAAAAGAATGTGTTTCTTCTCCTTTATTTTTGTCCGATGAAATAATTCTGGAGACGCACTTTCCCCCCGTTCATTACCTGGAATAACGCTTGTCATCCTGAGTACTTTATGTACATTGTTATACCAGTACATCTGTTTTCTTCAATGTGCGTTATAAACTATGTATAATCTATGAAAGGATTTTTTTATAATGTTTTTTTAAAAATCTTGTTTTTTATTATTTTTTTTTTACAGTGTGACCATATATTAGAAACTACAAACTTGATGTTATTTAATAGATTTTTTTTACATCTCCAAAACATGCAGAACACAAAAATCAAAAAAAAATTTCAATTCTTAAAGAAAATCGGGGTCACCCTGTTCATATTTTGACACAACTATTTGTAACCTTCATGTGATTTATAGAACTAAAAATGTAATATTAAGAAAATAAATATTTGTTTATTTATATAAAGATAGAAACTAACTAAATAATTAGCTAACCAGCTATCTACAAGTATAAACTATCTAAATGAAGAGCTAGTAAACTACCCAACTAACTACAAGTATAAACTAATTTAATGAATAACTAGTAAACTACCCAGCTAACTTCTTGTATAAACTAACTAAATGAATAACTAGTAAACTACCCAGCTAACTACAAGTATAAACTAACTAAATGAATAACTAGTAAACTACCCAGCTAACTTCTTGTATAAACTAACTAAATGAAGAGCTATAAACTACCCAGCTATCTACAAGTATAATGAACTAACCAATAAATAAATACAGAGAGATATGATTCTAAAAAAGAAAATATATCTATATCTGTTCTCTGCATTTCTGATTTTATGAAACATTATTGACATTAGAAAGGAAGTATTGAAAAAAGTTGGAATGAAATTGTAAAGTTTGTGTAACTTTCGTTTTTCTTGGAATATAAACGTAGTTCTCTTAATCAATGAAAACTAACACAAAAGTATTTATTTATTTCTGTAAAACCAAGAAGGAAGTATCTATTCATTATTATAAAATCAAGTAGGAAGTATCTATTCATTATTGTAAAATCAAGTAGGAAGTATCTATTTATTATTGTAAAATCAAGTAGGAAGTATCTATTCATTACTGTAAAACCAAGAAGGAAGTATCTATTTATTATTGTAAAACCAAATAGGAAGTATCTATTTATCATTGTAAAATCAAGTAGGAAGTATCTATTTATTATTGTAAAATCAAGTAGGAAGTATCTATTTATTATTGTAAAACCAAGTAGGAAGTATCTATTTAATATTGTAAAATCAAGTAGGAAGTTCTATTTACTTCTAAAAGATCAATTAGGAATTATCTATTGATTACTGTAAAATCAAGTAGGAAGTATCTATCTATTACTGTAAAATCAAGAAGAAAGTTTCTTTTCATTACTGTAAACAAATTATCAATTAATTTAAAAATATTCCTTTAAATTTGAGTTAATGCTTCAATACCCTTTAGTTTAAAGTATTTTTAAGAAATATGATATTAAATATAAAATATTGAAAGGATATTTTAAAAAAAATATTTCAGTTTTTTACGCCTCCTTAAAACAAAAGAGATAAGAATACATGGACAAGGGGAAGGGGGGGGGGAGATGTGAGAGACCTTTCTCTGAACCAGAAGAAAAAACATAGAGAATCGTAAAGAATTATAATTTAAAGATAATCATTTTAGAGGTGTGCGCATTTTTAGTACTGCAGTGTCTCTGGGCTCTAAAGTAAACACAAGACGGATGTCACAGCCGGCCTGGCATGGGATCCATCTTTCACATAAAAAATCAATGAAATGTTCTGCTTATATATAGGAAACCATTTAGTAAATTATCAAAATTAAATGCTTTTATCCTCCTTGTATACTAGAGGAATACTAGTGAATCTATTCTTCTATTCTATATCTATTCTATACAGTACAATAGATGGCTACGTATAATTTGTGCACTCTCAGTATACAGCTGAATTCTTACGTGACAAAAATAAATTCAGTTTTTATGGCTGACAAATTTTTAAATAATAAAAATGATAATTTTACAATAAAGTACTTATCTTACTGTAAAGTAAGTGCAATTGTATGTGTTCTTTATTTTCTGTTTTTAAAGGGTAGTTTGTGTTTTAGAGATATCAAAACTTGGACTAAACGGATTAAATTCCGACAGTTCCAACCTCAGATATAAAACGTATTGTTGCATACAAAATGAGCTCACTAGAACTAAAATGGATTTTAAGCAATTTGATAAAAGAATTTAAATGTTAAATTTATCTTTTCATTTACAAAAGTTGTTAATATTGATCCAAGTTGAAGCCTGAAATTTACAGGAAAACATAGTAATGTTAAAATATTATAATTTGTCGACTGTAGTTGATAACTGCTCCGATTGTTGAAATAAAATATTTGATAAGGAAATTGTAATTCAACAAATTATATTGCTAAAGAAAATTAAATAGTCTGGTAAAAAAAACTAAAATATAAAGTTTTGGTGCTTTTGAGTTAAAAATCTTAAACTATAACCTCTTTTTTAATCGCACTTATCAATCATTAAAAGACAAA